GCAGGCATCATAGCCGGAGATATCAGTGCTTGTTTTCTTACCTTATCAAGAGCCACGACCCTCAATTATTTATTTTTTGTCCACAGAATATTCTTCTTCTCAGTTGGATGAGCAGCAGCGTGTGCACACGTGTCACCATGTAAATAAAGGATGCAGCCAAAAGCTTTCAGCACTTTCTGTTTTGGTGGTTACGTTACACACTATGCACTATGCACCTTACTCCCAGAGGAATAAACAGAAATATCTGCCAGGAAGAAAATCACCAGATCATTTCAAGCTAGGTTTGACGCGGCAAAAACAGGAAGTGAGTGAGTGATACTTTGAGAAGTGTCCTCTGAGAAATGTCAGCTAAATGCAGACTGAGCTGTAACTCTAAACGACACCGGTATTCTCCTTTGAGCTGGCGCGGCTCCAGGATGCTGAATGCACATGATGTAATGAAAACAAATCTAACCTTGCTCTCCACCAGTGAGAGGAGAACTTGCTCCAAAGCAGAGGAGGCCTGAGGTAAGGCCGCCTGCAGATGGCCGACCACCACGCCGACAGCGACCCGTGACAGCTCGTAACTCAAGCCTGTGTTCTTCCGTACCAGCTCAATCAATTCGGCCCCAATAGTCATGGGAACTGGATCAGGAGTAGTGGGGCTGCCAGGAGGGCTTTCAGCGACGGACGGGGGGGCGACGGGCCATTCACTCTCCGGCTGGTCCTCCACAGCGGGCTGTAAAGGAGGGGTGGGCTGGGGAGGCTGTGGAGCCGGGCTCTTCTTTGCAGGAGCTGGCTGAGGAGGGGAGTCAGAGGGAAGCACGTCTGGAGGCGGTGCAGGGGGCTTCACACGGGATGGCACAGGGGGAGGGGGGCTGCTGGCAACACTTGGCAGACTGACATCAGAGGAGGCCGGTGAGTGGGAGGAGCCAGAGTCTAAAGAGGTGGTGCTGACTGAGAGGGACGGAGGGAGAGAGGACCCTCTGGACGGGACCTCTGGCTCTGCTGAGAGAGAGAGAGAGAGAGAGAGAGAGAGAGAGAGCTCCAGTTACAGAGAGGAGAGCGAACCGGATTGACTTGACTAAGAATAGAGGTTGTTTGTGAGGTACAGAGCTGCAGCGTGTAGCATCAGCTGAAAGCCGCAGCAGAAACGCTGCGCTGTAACCTGCGAGACTATAATAAACTCGTAAGTAAGGCTGTGAATTCTCTGAGTTCTAACCTGGACGCCGGCTGCTTCGCTGTTTCTCAGGGGGAGGTGGGGTGATCGGAGCCGCACGTCGAGGCTGAGGAGGCACCTGCAGGGGGGGACGCAGGAAGTGAAACTGACTATATACAGTGTTAAGTGAGGGCATATTTTGTGTGTGTGTGAGATATAATTATTGAGGATGGTTAAATCTCTCTTGTGATCTATTCTGCAACGTCTCCTGATATAAAGGCCGAAAATATATTTTAATCCTAAAGATGGGCTGTGTTTTTTGACCCTGTACGTGGATGAACATTTTTCTGATAAATTGATCAAGTATCAGTCCCCGGTCGCAATCATCTGCGAGGTAGGATATTAATATAGATTAGTGGTGTTTAATATGTGGCAGATCATCACAAACTAATCATTAGTGAGTTACAATTGCAAACAAGCAAGCAAACTCTTTTGATAAAGAACTTTTCAAAACAGACAAAAGCCAAAGAAAAATAGATGCTTTCTGCTTCTTTGTAAGCCTGCAAATGGGATTGTAGGGTCAAACAAAACATTTAAATGTGTACTGCAGATACCTGGTAAAAGCCCTGCTCCCCCCGCATATTGTCCATGCTTCCTGATAATGGCATGCTCCCCTGTCGTCCGTACTCTCGGTTAAGGCCATTGGGTGGTGGAGGAGTCTGACTGAGAGATATTTCACTGCTGGAAGACGGGAGGCCTTGTTTCTGGCCAGAGGACGAGGAACTTCGTCGAGCAAGGGTCTCCTTTCTGTGATGGATCAACTTCCTACAACGGAGGAGAATGAGGATTCTCACACAGTTTCAGACTCAGTATATTATCTTAAGTTTATTATGCGCATTTCGACTCACTGTAAAACATCTCTCTGCTCCAGATTGTATTTGCCTCCATTTTTTAAGGCCACATTGTGGATTCCTTCGATCGCTCTGTCAATAGACTGCAGCACCTCGTCCTGCTCGGGAGCCTGTAGGGGAGGAGAACATGAAACAACTGAAATATTCAGTAACATAATTATTAAACTTTAAACAAAACAGAACATAACTGTGGCTCGGGGACATGTGTGACTCCGGGCAGAAACAAACTAGGGCAGTTATCTAACCAAAAAACAGCCTTTTACCCAGCGTCACACGTGTTCATTAAACCTCATTAACAACAGGAGAGAGCATTCCTATCCTGCCAGTGTGTGAGCTTGTGATTTTACACATGCTGTGACTAGTTCACTGTAAGTCTGGATCCTTGGAAAAAGGAGTCTCCTCACTCTAAAGCTCATGTGGGTGTGTGACTGAGAAGAAGCCCAAAGGCTTTGTGAAAGGGAGCAACTACTTATTTACCAGTGACATGGGCAGATGAGAATGATCCTTGATTATAAAATGAAACAATGTCTTCCTTTCTGTCTCCTGTGGCCTTGCTGGACACATCCTATCCTGTACTGTATCATCTTATCCTGTCATGCTTTCCTGCCCCATCCTTTACCCCCCAGTCTCTGTCGCAGTGAGCAGCTGCAGTGCAGAAGGCCATGTCCCTACATAATGCAACGCTTCCAATAATTTATGGGTTCTTCTGCAAGCACGCATTTTCTTCCTGACAATAATCAGCAGTCAGCTTCAGCGTGGCCTGCACTGCAGCACAAGAAGTACAGTTACATGGCATCTGCCTCTCTCTGTCTCATCACTGTTACTACGCATTCACTAGATTTCACTTCACGGCAGTGTGCGACATGCCCGCTTGCATTCATTGACACAAAAAGAGAGAGAGAGAGTTCCTCGGGTTAGAAAGTGGTGCTTACCTGTATTTTTTCGATGTATGAGGCTGGGATGTAGCCGGTCTCCCCCGAGCTGCAACGGGACCCCAGCCACCAGTGTTTGTTGCTCCTCTCCAGGATTAAGAAGCTTTCTCCGGCCGCGAAGTGCAGCGAGTTGGGCTCCGCGGATCGGAAGGCGTACAGAGACCGGTACATGCTTCACCAACACTTTGCCGCGTCGAAAGGACCCGAAACAGCGAGAGAACTGGTGTCGGGAGATAGGGCGTCTCCGAGTGGAAAGATCTGCTCGGTTGGGAGTGATTTAAAGAGGCTATGAAGGCATGGCCACGGCGGATCACTGCCGTCTATTTACAATGTAGCTCGGATCATCTGACCTGTGACTGTTGCCAGTAAACACCGCAGGGGGCGCTGTGACTCCATGAACACGCCCCCCAGGCATTTTAATCGAAGGCAGAGACGTTACTCGACTTTGCTCCAGTGGCACGTTGTATTTGCTAATCCAAGTCTGTCATTTTAAAAGGATAATTGATCATTAGAAAACACGAAAAAATCATGGTAGCACGGCTTAAAACTGTTGTGTTGATTAATGAAGCAATAAAACTGGCCTTCTTTAGACTAGTTGAGCATCTGGAGCATCAGCAGTTGTGGGTTTCATTACAAGCTTAAACTGGCCATAAACAAACTTTCTTCTGAAACTTGTCAGCCTGTTCTTGTTCAGAGAAATGAAAGCTATTCCATGCGAGAAACTGTCAAGAAACTGAAGATCTTGCTCCCTTCACAGAACAGCGTATACTGGCTCTATCCAGACCAGAAAGAGGAGTGGGAGGCCCCGGTGCAGAACTGAGCAAGAGGACAAATACATTAGAAGGTCTAATCCTCTACTGGCAGTGTCAATAAATAGTACCCGGAAAATACTAGTCTCAACATCAACAATGAAGAGGTGACTACGGGATGCTGCCCTGAGTTGTAAAGAAAAAGACATTTCTCAATAAAAAGAAATTAACAATAGAAAGATTAGGGCTGAATCTTTTCTTTGCCAGATACTCAACCAGGCCAGTTTTATTGCACAACTGTTTCAAAGTTGTGCTACCATGACTGCCAAAGTGTTTTCTAATGATCAGTGAGCCTTTTAAAATTATGAACTTGGATTAGCAAACACAACGTGCCACTGGAGCACAGGGCTGATGGTTGCTGATAATGGGCCTCTGTACGCGTCTGTAGATATTTACAAATCAGCCATTTACAACATTAACAATGTCTACACTGTATTTCTGATCAATTGATGTAATTTTAATGGACAAAAAAATCGCTTTTCTTTTGAAAACAAACTTTTGAACGATAGTGTACATACAATCATCCATTCACGAAAAACATGATTTTAAAGACACATCTGAATTGTATATTGTACTGTTTTATTGCTTCCAGATATTTGAAATTGTGTAATTATTTGTATTTGGGTGCTATGACCCTTCTTGACAACTGTTATAGGCTACTTGATTTACCCATTGTGTACTGTAACTTCATAATTCAAACTACTATTTTTTTTACATAGGAAATTTAAATTCTTCTTACAATCAATCCAAATTTGACCTCTTTAAGAGAAACATTTGGGACAATCAGGTGAACCTTTAAGATAGTCAGTCCAGAATTTACAAAGAAGCCAAAAAAAAATAATTGTTGAGTCAATATTATTTTTAATACTGCTAAAAATATATCAAAGTGAGCAGGCTGGTTCATTGCAAGGACCCAGAGTCTAAAAATGCAACTACCCTTTTCTTTCGTATATATATAATATTTTTTTTATTGTGTTGCACAACGGCTTAACTGGAGGGCATCAGCTTAGCATTTAACATCAGGTACATTTTGTTTTTTGTTTTTTTGTGTAACACGATAAAATACATATGTCTATGATGGATAGAAATGTTTTTAGAAAATCAAACAAAACACGAAAATTTAATAAAACACGGCATCCTTGCAAAGCTTGTTAAACTTAAAATAATTTAAATTGTTCGATTTTGCGATACACAACACCGGAAACAACCGGCTGGTGTTACACAGAAACCTGTCCCCCTGTCTGCCGCCGGCTGGTGTTCTCCGTTATCATGGCCAGTGTGGTGTGCGCCAGATTCCTCTTCCAGAGATCAAAACAGGGGCTTCTCCTCTCCTCCAGGGCAGTGCCCGCTTTCTCAAGGTGTTGTAGTTTTTCTTTTCCTATTCTTTTGAGCGGAGGATTTAAAGTGTAGTCGTTTAGTAACTGTCCCTTGACTTTCCTGCAGGCTCGAGACGAGGACAGTTACGAAATGTCTTTAATATCACCCGATTGTGAGATGCTCCCTTACAAGTTTGTTTTAGCATTATTTGCAGAAACAAAATACATTATTACTATCACCACTGAAGTTTATCATTGTTCCGTGTGGATTTACATTGTCGGTCATGTTAAACTCTTCCCTTGACTAAAGGATCATGTTGTTCGGCAGGACAGTTAGAGCTGTACTAATCATTTTCATTATCGATCACTCAGTTATTATCTCTTTTTATCAATCGGCCAAAAATAGTGAAGCCTATATGCATCTTCAGAAAACAACGAGGTAATCATCAGTCACAGGTGTCAACATGACAAGCAAACAATAAAATAAGTAAAATATAACAAAACATATGATCTTGTTGTTGTTTGATGTTCAGTCTAAATGTTAAATTATCATGTTTTACACTTTAAATGTTGACACCTTGGATTGATGATTACCTAATTGTTTTGTGAAGACACAGATATGACCTTAAATTACATGTAGCCTACATATCACTTTGAGATATATGTAAATGTAAGTGCTGTTAGAATCTGGTGAGGAGGAAACCTTGCTCAGCATCACTGAATAAAGAAACGTGGTGATTGTGCTGGTGCTGGTTGGCCATTCTATCTTCCTTGTGGAGCATTTTTTGGAGGTGCATAGTTTGTTTCCCCCACCGTTGTGAAACCCAAGATTTCCATGAGCAAGGGCCTCACTTTGTGTTTTTGTGTTAATTGGTGGGGACATAAGGGCCCAGATTAGGGGTGTGACGATACACTTTTAGCTCACCAGACATGACAATGCACAATATTGGGTTCACAAGAACAAGATGAAAATATTTTAAAACAATCTTGAAGAAATATTCAATGCTGAAATATTTGAGGGGGTCCTCCCCCAAACAATTTTGAGCATTAAAAAATTCACTTCCTGCATTCTGGAGAAATTTTCTGGACCAATTTAAGGTGGAAATGTCTTTCAGGTGGCAGGTGACAATTATAAATTAATATAGGCCTATGTAATTAATATAATGCAGTAATCAGTACCCTGTAACTTTTTTCAGAACATTTTTAACAAATACTGTCAAAAAGTTATGGGCACAAAATCAGCATTTCAAAAAGTGGTGGGGACTTGTCCCCAGCGTCCCCAGTGAGACACCGATGCCCATTAGGAACCAGGTCATAGCTTGTTTGCCAAACAGACAGAATCTCTGGCTCCATCTGGTGGAGTCAGTCGTTACGTTCACCCTGACTTGAGGCCAGGTCAGCTCTTGAGTCCTCTGCTGTGCTGCGTTAGAGAGAGAGGGCAGTGCTTCACATCTCAATATTAAAGATTGCTGAACTTTGACTGAAGATTTTTGTAACAGTCAGGAAGTAAACAGTGCGAGTACAGGATGTGTCTTGGCGGCCTCTTTTGTGCAGAAACAGGCTGAAAGCCTTCGGCTGTCAGTAGGTTGGCGTTAGTTTTTTGGCCTTTAAACGGGGCCACATGGCAACGGTTCTGCAGTTCAGCCTGGTTTTGAAATGTAAAGTGATGGAGAATGTACAGAGTATGTGCAATAAATACATCATTACTGAGGCTGTTTCATGCCCAAAGTTCTTCAGGCCACAAGCGCTCAATATTTATACTTATTAACACAGACCAGTCTCGTGTACTTAACATGGTACTGGTTCTAACTTAGTTTACCTGTCTTTTGTTCTAGCCCGTTTCTGTCTCGTGCACATAGATTGGTTCCCAGTGATGATGAAATGTACCAGCGTACCACGGTGTCTGTCATGCAGAAGGAGCCGGGCAGTGGGATCATGATCCACACCTACAGTTCCCAAGGATTCAACATTGACGGCAACAAGGTGATTGGGCCGTGCGCTGTGCTGCCTCCTGCTATCCTCCAGTGGAATGTGAGATCAAAATCCAAATTCCTTCTCAGATCTTAGTTTCTTGTGTCATGAACTGCTTTGTATTAAATTTAAACAATTATCTTGTTTTTTTTTTACTTTTTTAAATCCCGCCCTCTTGCTGCAGGTTGGCAGTTATAAAGACATCACAGAAGAAAGTGTCTCACTTTTCCACATGCTTGAACCAAGGATAGGTAAAAAAGAATATATAAATAAAAGCACACCGACAAATCAAAAGAAAAGGCAACACAAAGTGTCTCAGAACATTGCATTGCTTTTTTGCGTAGATAAAGCCTTTGAACTCCACTGGAGGGGTGAACATCATTTATCCAAAAGACATTCAGTGACCGCTCGTGTCCTGAATGGAAGCATCAGCATTCATTATGTTTTTCACGCAGTTATTCAGGTTTTTCCTTGATTCCGTCACTCATTGAGGTTTTATGTATTTAACTGAAGAAAAGGAAATCCCAATGCATGTCACTTAATTTTGTTGTTGCTTATGCAGAGATTCTTGTGCTGGGCACAGGCGCACGGCTTGAACGAATCAACCCCTCGGTGCTGGCTCTGCTCAGGAGTAAAGGCATCGCTGTGGAGGTGCAAGACACGGTAAAGTATGCCCAGTCTCTCAGCATAGTATAGTGCATATGCTTACTTTAACATGGTGGGGAGACTTTCTGACTGTCATCACTGCTGTTTTGCAGCCAAATGCATGTGCAACCTTCAACTTCCTGACTAGTGAGAAAAGAGCGGCGGCTGCAGCTCTGATCCCTCCTCCCATCAGCACGGCACTGGAAGTGACACAGGAATAAGTATTGGGATGTCAACCAGACTCAGACTGATTTCTGCAGATGGACGTCAAGAGGTTGATGAATGATTCCCGGCCTGTGGCATGCTTATTGTACTTCACCACAAAGCTTCCAAAGGAACAAACTCAGTGACGTCCAGCTCTGAAGAAACTATCCCTGTATTTGGTCACAACTGTTATTTTTGGGGCATTAAGGTGTTAAAAGCATCCATTGTCACCCAGAGATCTGAGCAGGGAGCTGGCTACAATTTGAGATTCTGACAATAGTTTCAGGCAGTCACTTTCTACATGCTAGTTCTCAAGTGTTCTAACAAATGCTCTTAAATCTAGGTGGAGAAGTGAGTGCGAGTGCTCTTGAGTGTACACAAAGTGCAAGTGCTCAGGTGATTGTACTGAAGTGAGGACACCCACGATGAAGAATTAAGACTGTAATGAAGTGTAACAATATTCTTGTGTAGACATGCTGTGTTATGTGTATGAAATATATATTTAAAAGCTTTCTATGCAACAAACAATAACTTAAGTGTCAAGAATTTTGTGTTTTCACGCTAAGCATAAATGTATAATAACACCAACATGGTAAAATTGTTAAGACATGCAGAACGTCACTATTGTCTGTGCAGCAGAAAAGAAAAAATAAATATTCTTTTGTATGAATATGTTCCAGCCCTCTGCCCGAGGTGTCGGTGGTGACTGTCCTTCATTTGGATAAGCCTCTTTACTCTGTGCGTCTGTCACTCCTCTGCCTCCAGCAGCGCTGCAACCAAACAAGCTGCCTGTGTGCAGCACATGACATAATTCTGTGGCTTTGTCCTTCTCATACATAAGCTCCACAGATAAGAATCCACAAATCCTCTGCCCATCATCTCTAATCATCTGCCTCTGTACCACATGTCCAGCGTCAGTCTGAATGTTTAAATCCATGTCGTTCACATGCAGGATGCTGCATGATTACTTCCACCTGCTGCTGAGAAACTGTGGCACTGATTGGTGCTAAAAGAGGGGGGAAAAATCAAGAACATTTCCAACCAAACAGGCTCTTGATCATGTTTGCCCATTTGTAGAAATTATAGGTTTCAGTTCTTGAAAAGTTAATTATATTGATGAGATACAGGTAAATGTAAGAGCAGTTTTGATTGTCACAAAAGCCAGTGTGCTCAGGATTGGATTTTGATGGTGTAAACAAAAAAACACAAGTACTTTGTAGTGAAATTAGTTGTATTGATAGTTACAGAGTATTACCTTGTCTGATACCAAAATATTGCAACGGCAGATTGGACAAAAGAAAAAGACGTTTTACTGAGCAGCGTCATGCTTTACAGAAATTCACAAAAGGGAGATATGATAGCAAACAAATTAGAGGACACAAAAAGACATGCAACATTTACGTAGTACACTCACAGTTCACTCTACCTGCTACATAACACCCTCTGCGTTACAGCTGTGCAGTGGTATAATCATCCATTTTGTTATTTTGGCCTCCCAGCTGGCCCTAACAATGAAAATCTTTCTCAGCCATCATCAGAGTTGTGAGACTGGTGTCTCTGTGATCCTCCAAAGCAGAGCTCTGCGCCAGTGATCCGGCGATACATGTCTTTGATGTCCTCACACTCCGACTCAAAATGGTTTGTTGCATCATACGAGCGGGACACAAAGATCTAGTGAGGCGAGAGGAGAAATCAGACCCACCTGACTTCACTCCACTTTATTATATGTTTGTACAGGAAATGTAGTTGGATTGAGGGATCTCATTATTACCTGACTCTTTTTTCCATCTTCATTGGGAACCAGCAGGTTGCGGACTGAAACAAATCTAGATTCAAAGCAGTGAAAGGGAAATGACATCAATTAAATGTTGTTTCAAGTGTAATTTTACAAACAGTAAAGTTAAAGGCTTAAAAGTGTCACTAACTTTTGCATGATGGGCTCGAGAAGCTCCAGGCCTGGCTGAACTTCTTTCTCTGGGTTGCTGGTTTCTGCAGTTGTGCTCACTGTGGCGATGTACACCCCATCTGAGGCCACATTGTGGACGTGGGACACTACACTAATGTAAATGTCTGCATGGACAAAAGAGAAGGGCTTTTCTATGAATTATTAGGCCATGTGATCAAATTTTTATATATAAAATCCAACCAACACGCATGAATGTAATGTGGGAACTGTCTAGTGGCACTAGAAAACACAAGTCAGATTTATTTTTCATGGGTTTTTGCAGGATAAAAAAACAGACAAAATACCTGATTTCCTGTTGAGTTGTGTTTGAGGGATGATGATTTGACAGGAGTTTGCCTCGTGGGTGTTTTTGACCGGATGATTTAATAAACAGATGACTCTTATCACACGCCCGACTTTCCTCACTCGGTTAGGGACATAGCTGGGGTCGCAGATGAGCTGTTTACAGTGGAACAGCTGTTAAAGAGATAGAAAGACAAAATCACTGAGTGTTCGTCTGTGCAACTTCTCTGGCCTTCCTCTTTGTTAATACACTTGCCTTCCCCTCAGATTTCACAGCTGTGACCCTGCCGTTGTCCATCACAATCTCATCCACGGATCTGTTCAGCAGGAAGGTCCCTCCGTACTCTGCACTCAGTCTGAAACACACAGGTTGGATAATGTGAACCAAACATGTTTAACAGGTATATCCAGGGAGAAATCTGAGTAATTATTTTGTAACCTGGCAAATCCCTGTGGTAGTTCGCTCAGTCCATACACAGGGTAGAGGTATGGACTGGTGTTGTGGCGGGACAGAGACTCACAGTACAGCTTGATCCTTCTGATGGTCTCCAAACATGGCTGGTCCAGGTAACTGCAGGGTCACCAGGAGACAGTAAATGAGCTCAGGGAGGTTTTAACCTAAAGGATCATCCGTCACCATTTCTGTAACTTCCTGTGACTGACCTCTCGCTGCTGTGTAAGGCTATGGCATGACCTGTGAACTCCATAACATCTAGTCCCAGGTCAAAGCGGCAGAACAGGTCCCGTGTGGTCGTTTTGTTAGGATCTATGTCCTGGTAGGTCCGAGGGTTCCTCACGTCAAAGTTCATGGCAAAGAGCAGCAGCTTCCTGAACCTCCTCTTGTCAAACATGCCCATCAGATCTGAAATATACATGTTTCATTGAACATTATCAAATGGAGTTTAAATCCACATGCAGAGAGCATTTTGAAAAACAAACAACAACCGTTCTTCATTACCTGAAGCATGGGCTTCTTCCTCTGTGCCGGGGACTTTGTGCACTTTGCCTGTTTTGTATACGTAGCTGCCTTCAACAATTTTGAAGTCCATATACCGAGTAACTTCAGTGTGCACCAAGATTTTCACCAGCTGATCTAATACAAAGACACAGCAGAGGGTACAGAATGTGACCGTGCACAACAAACAATGCCCACAAATCACAAGTCCAGATGAACAGCACTAGGCTCTCACCATTGGCAAGAAAGAATTTGGGGACAAGGTCAACATTCCACTCTTTTCCACGGCCCAAAGACTTGGCAGGACCTGGAACCTTAAACTTCTTGTACAGCTGTAAATGTAGGAAGACATCAAATTAATCAACACCACAAATCAGCAATGCAGCAGCAGCTTTGTGAAATGGAGGACGTGCGTGTCTGCTCATTTTCTGTGTTTGTGAGAACACACCTCCTCCAGGGGAGAAATGGACGCGCTCTCTCCTCCATAGTAAGGATTCCTGTCAATGTGCAGAACCTTTTTCCCACTTTGAGACATTAAACCAGAAAGGACACATTCCTGAGACAGACAGGGGTGACAGTGAGGTGCAGGACAGCAGTTGGCACAGTGCATCTGAAGATCAAGACTAGCATAATGATGTCATTTTTTAAATTGTTGTTAATCCATTAAAGAGCCAACGGGCGCTCAGAAGGTCTGCACATGAATGATCAGTACAAGTGTGACCATTTTACTCAGGAACAAACTTTACCGTTACTTATATTATAAACTAAACACAGGGAAGAACAGTTTTGGGTAAAAGTGAAAGAAAAGGCTTCTTCCAGTATATTTTCAGTCTAAAGACACTGTTGCACTAAAGAAACAGAAGACACTTTGATTTGTTAATGGGACTAAAACTTTGTAGCTAGATTCCAGTTACTGTGCTTTTAAGAGGCTGAGTGGACCTAAGTGTAATGCTCTGGGAACGACAGACATTTATAATTTTTCTCATGTGACTCACACAGTAAGCTACTTATTTTACAAGAAATATAAGTTTTCTTACCTTAAGACCAGTTCCAAGCACAACAACATCATATTCCTGCATCCTAACAGTCTCCCCACCTGTTTCTCACTGAGTGCTTTTCAGGAGTGTAGCCTGTTGCAGTATTGTGAATGTGTGTGTGTGTGTGTGTGTGTGTGTGTGTGCATACGTGTATGTGTGTATATAGAGAGACACAGGTATGATGATGACAACAAGTGACAGTAATTGCTTTGTGTTCTCTTTGCAATAATCCTCTTAAGACTGGCCCATCTATGCTTGTGTGTGTGTGTGCGTGTGCGTGCGTGTGTGTGTGTGTGTGTGTGTAATGAATGAAGATGGTGTTATCAATGGTGAAAGAACTATTCAGATCCGCCATTCAAAATTATTCTGTATTACACAAGTAAGCTATTATCAGCATAAAGTAAGGGGGGCTGGGGATGAAGGAACAAGTTATGAATCACAAGAGTCTGGGTTAGTTGAAACAACAATTAAAAATGTTTTGTTGTATTTATTTTTTTTCTTTATATTTCAGTATGTGTCTGACAAACACTGTAATGTTTAAGTTTGTGCACATTTGCACATTTTGTCAAATTTGATCATTTGACAAAATGTGTCATGTTCACGACTACTGTCAGTGATATTAGTGACTCACATAACTACTATGACTGACGGTAAATTCACACAAACCCAAACACACAAACTTTGTAAAATAAAAACCAGAAATCAAAAAAAGTGTTGAGTAAAAAACGTTCATTATCATGTTTTTATTAGATTCCATATCTAACCTTTCACCCCAGACTATGGGGTGAATAGTAACGTTTCACTTCTTGTGTTTGAGACTAAACCATTCATTTTCTGTCTGTGTTGCAGAGATGACATTTACATCATTTAATAGCAGACAAATGTTACAACTATCCCTTTAGGTCTCCCTAAAGTATCAAAAGTAAAAGTATTAGTGGTATAAATGCACCCTTTTTGCTTTGCTTTTTGGGTAAAATATTGGCTAATTTTCTCTTTTTGGACCAGTTACAGGGGAAATGTCTCTGGTACTCACCTGAAACATGACAGGAACCCCTAACTGGTTTAATCTATAACAAAATGTAAAAAATATGTGTTCCTGTTGTCATAAATGTGGCGCATTTGTGTACCGGTATGTCCGTTTGGTGATGAAAGATTACGCTCGCATTCTGACGCCTACCTTCCGAAAAAAACTCAGTTAACCATCATGCTTCGAAGATAATTGTCTCTGGGGTTGCGCTTGTTAAATTCGCCGGGGCACTCGAGCGGCGTAGGTGGAAAAATTCTGCCTACCCGAGTGAGTTCCGGTGTGCGCTGTGTATCACTGAAAACGCTTCCTGTAGTTTCTCCGTTGATGTGTCCGTTTCCAGTCACTGGATCTTCAAATCCTCCAACTTTGCTGTTTGACTGAGAAGTTAAGAAAGTCAGAGAAATGTCTTCAGCAGTAAGTGGTTTAGTTAAAGTCTCTGTTCTTTAACCGTTACTGCAACGTTACCATCTTAACGGCCGTTTACCGCCTATTCCAGCTTCAGCTTCATCTGTCGTCATAGTAAGTTAGCTTACACTTACAAACGCTGTTAGCTAGTTTATACTTTGACAGTGTAACGCCAGTACCCCGTATTGTTGAATCTCTTGAGTACCGTGATTGGCATGTAACAACAGTTTACTGACAGGCTTTTATTCGTTGAAACATGTAAATGAAGTTCGGAAGTTAGCACAGGACAAAAGAGGTGTGTCACGCGTAGCTTGCTCTGTGGCATGACATGTTGTTGACTAACCTGAGCTTGGTATTTTGGTCTAACGTTAGCAATAAATAATCTATCTGATAAAATGAGTCTGTCTCAAATGCACATAAGTTACGTAGATGCATAAGTTGGCGTCACTTAGTTTTCACAGCTGATTTGTAAATCTATCAGGGAGTAATGTTCAACATCACTTGGAGAAAAAGTTGGTTCCAAAAGTTTTAAAGTAAAAATTATAATTTTTACTTTTTATTTTATACAACTGCAAAAGACAAGAATGTTTAATCAGAAATAAAAATTACTTTTTGTTTGAGTTTGTGCAGCCAGTTTGGTTCTACCATCCAAAATGATGAAGTTATTCATCAAAACTCTTGACAGTTTTATATTGATCTAATAGTTAATAAACTGTACCAGAGTGACTGCTAGGTAATGCTTTTATATTACAATTCATTTTAGTGAATTATATCACAATCAAACGTAATGAAATAGTTATTTAAAGTTATGATGACATACGTTGTTGTTGTTGTGTTGATATGGTCACTTGTTCCTTCAGTGAAGGCAAATAAACTCACAACCGACATTAGCCAGAAATCTTACAAGTAAAAAATTAGTAATTCATTGAGTGTTCCTCTCAAAGTCAATAATGTCATCCATCATTCTTGTGGATAGCTGAGGTTATTGTTGGTATTAAACCTTTTTGTTCTTGCATGTTTGTGTCAGTTTTCAGATAAAGACCCAAACCAACACAAGCGTGTATCTGTTCAGTCCAACCCTGGATTCCTGGAGCGATTAGGGCAAACAGCAGGAGGAACGGTAGTTGGTGTCGGACTGTTTTTCCTGTCAATTTACGTACTCTTTACCAATGAGGTACGAAACACGCACACAGTGGATAAATATTCATGTATGTCACATCAAAGCCACACTGCATGCTATTAAAAGTCTTAATTGTTGTGTTATGTCGCCTGTTCATGTATCTGTCTCTGTGGTCAGGGGAGGGCTCTGCAAACGGCATCCTCCCTGGATGAAGGTCTTTCTCAGGTTGTGTCGCTGGGGCCTTACTCCAGCCTCGACCTGCAGAATAACAACCGTTTAGTTCATCTATCTGCACAGCTGCGCACCTCACAGGTAGACAGTACTCAAGTTTTGTTTTTTTAGTTTGAACTCCCTGTTGTGTCAAACTACTCTCTCTAATCACACATTGATAATGATAAATTCTAAAAAGTCAACTGGGATCATACTCAAACACTTTGCATAAACTTATGTTTATTATTTATGTTCATTTGATCCCTCTAGTTATCCTCCATAAATCCATGCCGTTGTTTTTATTTTCTACTTTAATGCAAATGGAGCGTTGTTATTCTTTTTGTATATCTATCCTTTGAATGATTTAAGACCTCTAGTCAATAAGTCTGGTGTCTGTGTACACTGTGTGTTGGCCAAAATCAGTTCAGAAAAGACGTGTTTGTGGTCATATAGAGACAGCGTCTTTGTTACGTGATATAATATTAATATCTGCATCTCAAAATTCTTGTGTTGGTTCTGAATTTTCCTGTATATTTATTTTGTAACATGCCTAGTACAGGTTAGGGGGAAAACAGAAAGGGTTCAAACCGTTGAATTGTTTTTTTATTTCAAGTTAATTTTATTCTGTTGATGATTTGACAGCTTCATTCAGTGCAGTCCTGCTAGAATTATTTTTAAATTCAAATTATTAATAAAAGTAATTTTGTTAAAGCAAAACTCTGAAGTAAATTTAACTTCAGGTAATGTGTCTGTGTAGCCCCTGCATGACCCCAACTACAGAGTGGAGGTGCAGGCAGTGAAGCTGAAGAGGCAGGTGGAGATGTATCAGTGGGTGGAGTACCGGGAGAGCAAGTGAGTCTGTTGTCTGCATATGTCAATGTTCAGGGAGTGGCCAGGTGTAACAATGTTGGCTGCATCCCAAAACATTATTAGCCTGAAGTGAGTTCTTGTGCGACTCGTTTCAGGGACTACCAAGAGGATGGTGAGACCAAAACTGAGACGACTTACACCTATAGTGAGTTGTTTTTATTAAGACTGTTAGTATTTGGGGGAAAAAACATTACATTCATAAATAATTATTTGTGATTCTTTTACTTTAGACACGGAGTGGAAATCAGAGTTGATCAACAGTCGTAACTTCGATAAGGAAATCGGTCACCAGAACCCAAGGTACCAAGATTATTTTGTTCCTTTCTGTCACATTAGAAATACAATTTTTGTGTGTTTTTGCGTAGTTTGTCTTTAATTTAACCTTTGAACCTTAGTGCCATGGCGGTTGAGAGTGTCATAGTGGTGGCTCCCGAAGTCGCAGTTGGACCTTTCCTCCTGTCTAAAGGTAACACGCTGCAGGCAGAAATCAGATGCTGCACTGTAAGTCACACTGTTTAGATTTGACTCAATTTATCGTTTATAATCCTCAGGCCTAGTGGAGCAGATAAATAACTTCCAGACGCTGAGTTTGAGGGATTTCAATGCCTTTACCTTGGACCCTTTTCTCAGCATTGATGACGATTATTTCTATCACACTCAGTACCCACGCAGGCCGGAGGTGAGCATCATCATCATCTCCCAGATATATAACCTTCTGACCTCTGATGGACGGGGTGTTCCACATTCATGCAGTTCTTGGCTTCAGTTTGTATTGTGTTTCTTCACAAGGTTGGGGATGTGCGTGTGAGATTCTCCTTCGCTGGACTGAGTGGTGAGACGTCTCGCCTCGGCCCGCCTCAAACTGTGAGTGCAGATGACCTGTTCTGGTATACGCTAGGGATGGGTATCGCTACTTCATACCTTTTATGGTATCAACCAAAACAGCCCAGTATCGAGTAGAATCAAAATGTCTCCAGTCAAACCAGTACTTCAATCGATACTTTTTGTAACTAGATTGCGGCAAGAAATTACTTTTTGTATGAAACATGTGTGCTGTGTGTATGTGCTCGCGTGATTTTTACAGCTGCTCACCTTCGGCTGCAATCTCAGGCATATTCGTCACTGTTGCTGGTTTATCACCTCAAGCTTGGCTTTCTGTTGGTTTCATCTTCTGATATCATTCTTCTTTGGACATTTTTATGTGCTATGTACATCACATGTCACCCACCGATCGATCGCTGCGTTCCATCACATCAATTAAACGCTTTTGTGGCGCAGCAGCGATCAGCTGATTTTACTCACGGAGCCTCCAGCTGCAGCTGTGGCTGATATCAGATGTAGCTGGTGTGATCAGCTGAATGCGCAGCCTCTCTTTTCCTCTGTTTGTGAGTCTTTAGTATAGTTCAGTGACTTGTTTAAACAGACTCCTTTCTCATTTTATAGGCTACTTATTACTGTCGTTTTTCGAGGAGGTTTGCGACTCATCAATAAAGGAAAAAGCACTTGCGGAGATCTTTCAATTCAGTTTATAGATCGAAAGTTAACAATAATTTTCCGTTGCTTACTTTCAACACACGTATGAAATTAAATTAGTTTCCCACAACTTATTTGGTCACTAAACAATTTCACTCCTTCTCTCTCATTCAAGTACAAAAAAATTAGCAGGCTGTAGTCTTTCTCTATATAATACTACCCGTGAGGATGAACTTATCAGGATGAGGAGCGGATCTGATACACTTTTCCAATACTTTTATGTAACAGTAATTTGAAACAAGAAAAAAATAAACAGTAAAAACCAATCTGCTACTACGGCCGTCTAGCTGATCACCACAAACTTAAACATTTTTTATAATCAGTTAATTTTTAAAAGTAATTTATCAATCATTCGCCCATTCAAGCTGCTCATTTTTGAGGACCTGTTGTATTTTGCTCTATTACTGTAACTCGAATGTGTTTGGCAGACAAGATTTCTCTTTGGACTCTGGGAACTTTATAAACTAAATGATAAATCAAAAAGTAATCAATAGTTGAATCAATCAGCCCTAGTTTTTAATGATGGCTGCACATATTTTCATTATCGATTTAATTTAATGGTCTTATCCTAATGCTGGGGTAGGCAACGTTGCAAGAGACAGCTAAATTTGGAAAGTATGCAACTGAACCCCCCCCCCTTCAGCGAATCCTACTATGGCGAAGGGAGGACCAGCCCTACTCTGCCTCTGATTGGCTTAGCCTGATGACATTTCTCATGTAGCCCTCGCTGAAAGAACAGGACGTTTTTGCTGTTCTTCTGCAAATTAGCTTGAAATTGTTAAGCCATAATAATCTCTTCTAAATGCAGTCAATTTGTTTTTCAGCAAGGGCTAAATGAGAAACGTCATCGTCCAGCTAAGCCAATCAGGTCCTGAGTCGGGCCAGAGTAGGATTCGCAATTTGCCTCCCTCCAAGGCCACTCCCCCAAAACACATTTTCATGTGCAGTAAGTGCACAGGGAGAGTGCACGCAGGTAGTCCAGCCAATCATTTCAGTCGGACTAAATGAAATGATTGGTCCTGTGTCAGTCACAGAATCCAGATTTTCATTTTTGTTTCAGAGTATTTGATTTATGGATTTCTGTTGGGGTGTAAAGAGAATCTACTGATTATTTATTTTGGTCTATATAAATTTTGTGATGTCCATTGTTATCAGTTTCTGTATGAAATGGTAGGTATGTTGATCCCTTGTACACTAACTGCAAAAACAGTACACTGTAAAGATTACTAAATATAATCTACAATTAAAAAATTGTTCCTTAAGCCCAATCAGATGCTTGTTTTGTCCGACCAACAGTCCAAAACTTAAAGATGTTCTGTTCATTGTCACATAAGGAAAAGCGACATAGTCTCTGGGAAGGAAGGAATGTTTGGCATTTGTGCTTGGAAAAAAAAAACACCATTTAAGTGCTCATACGGATTCGGCTTAAATTGTGGTCTTCCTCTTAAGGCGCTGGTAAAATCTGTTTTCCAGGTCAGTATCGTGGCCATGCAGAGAGGCGAGCAGCTGATGCCTTTCAAAACCAGGTCAGGTGACACTCTGGAGATTCTGTACCTGGAGGAGCTCTCTGCAGAGGTTAGTGTGATTTTATTGCATTTGTTGGACACAGCGGTTGTTGTTTGCCTATTGTGTCTAGTTAACACATATTCCACACTTGGTTCTGGTGGTTGATGCCGTTGTATTGTTTGTGTAGGAGGTTTTTCAGAAGGAACACCAGTCCAACAGTATGAAGACCTGGGCACTCAGGGCTGCAGGCTGGGCCCTCATGTTCCTTAGCATTCAGCTGACCATGCGAATCATCCACACATTGGGTAAACAGTCACTGCTGCTGTATCTCCACATCATACATGGATTTCTTTCCCTGAATCGCATTCATAATACTTTCTCTCGTGTGCCTACAGTGGACTGGGTTCCTGTTCTCAGAGAGCTCGTGTCCGTGGGGCTGAAGATCTTCGCCTTGTGCGTCTCCTGCTCTCTGTCTCTTCTCACCATCGGAGCAGGTTGGCTTTTCTACCGACCGTTAGTGGCTGTGGCTCTGGGAGCACTGGCTCTGCTTCCAGTGTTTCTCGCCCGCTCAGGACTTCCAGTGAAGAAGAAGGAGTGACTAGTGAACTGATGATTATCAGAACATCTTCTGATGCCTGGGCGTCCATCAACAGTGCGAGACAGTATTGTGCAGCTGTTTTGTTCCACAGTAGAGTTACGGACTTGCTTTCTTGGGTAACACAGACATTTTGTTGTGAAGGTTTATGTGATATTCAATGTTTTGTTCTAAGAGGTACAGTTATTGGTTCCATCCAAAAGCAATTTGTTTAAATGGACTTGAACATTATAATTTTTGTTAATAATTTAACAGGGGCATCATACCTTCATGAAGGTTCAGTCTTTGTTGACGCTGTTCTAGAGAAGTGTTGATTCAGCTGGATGTTCATTTTAGAGGCTGTTCAATTGTTACACTGGGAGGTGATTCTAATATTTTGTCTACACTTATTTATGTAAATGAGGTACACAGTATTAGGTTCAACAAAAACTGAACATTATAACCTTCATGACGGTGGGATTTACTGCAAGGTTGCATTAGCCAGATTTGACTAACAAACTGGCAAGAATGTTTGCTTTTCAAAGCACTTTGGACAAGAAGACCAATCAGTGAAATACCAAAGACCTGGGGATCTGCAACTTTGTTGGATTGTTTGTTTGCAATGGATGTTAAATAAAGCACGTATTGTGTGTATCAACTAAAGATCTTACTGACTTCTGGCTCGTATTTCCAGTCCTAGCGCTAGTCAAGAGGGCCTGGAAGTAGAGGCCGACAAGTTGAACCTGAAAAGTGTTGGGGAGGTAATTTAGAAACTGCCACCATCAGCTTGTCCACCAGAGAACAATGGCAAGTTTTTCAACTGTCTAGCTCAGTATACATCTCTTTTTTTTTTTTTTTTTTAATGAACACACTTAAGGGATCTTTAGCAAAAATAGCAGCGAAAACACAGCAGTTTAATCAGATTAACTTTCAAATAGTGATCTTAATCTCCCCTTTTTCAGGCTGTGTTGATAAGATAACCAGAGTGGCGTGCGTTAATCTATAATTACATTTGCGGCATTTAACTGACACTGTGGCTGATTATGAAAAGCTCAAGTGTAGTGACTTAGATGCATATGCAAAATGGTCATTGTCAAATTGGCTGTGCATGCTGAAAACATTTTCTCCTTGGAACCAAGTTCCCTCGAAAGCTGCTTCAAATCTTTATTCTGTATCTAAGATGGACTGTGACTCACTGGGTGTCTGTGTTTCAAGCAAGTGATACAAATGATCAAGATTCTTACAAAGTAATTTATTACACAAAACACTAAGTTTCCTTTTGCGTTTTAACAAAATGAGTTTCCAGTCTCATTGTGCATGTGACCATAATGCACGTAGGATTTGTACATGAAGCACACAAACAAATTTCAGCTTCATGTGCGCATCTGTTGAAATAATTAAAGGACTAAGGGTCACAGTGTACAGGTACTTCACCCTAGTTGGCTGTGGAAACATTCCTCAGATCAGCAGGCAGGGCTGAAGCACTTAACTGTAGTTGGCAGGTAGGATAAAACAGGTCCCCTGGGCTGACCTCTTACATTACATAGTACATGTTGATAAAGGAGGTTTCATTATGGCAAATTTACTCGCGTTAAAGTACAAAAAAGTATTTTCCATAACCTCAAAATTGAATACTGACAGAACCTGACTACTTTTGCTTAAGACAAAAAAAGTAAAAGCATTACACCTTTAGTAAAAACTGGGGAGAACAGTCTTTTGTGTGGGTGTGTTTGGGGGTAGGTTTGACCTAAAGCTCCTTCTTCTCCTCCCCACCCCCCCCGTAGGAAGCAGTCCTCGTGCCCCCGTTTACAGTAGGACACATTTATTGTTCTTCTTTCCCCGCCTGGCTTGTAGTGCAGCCCTGGTGGCCATCTCGAACACTTCCCTTACACCATCCTTTGTTTTTGCAGAGCACTCCATGTATCCAAAGGCACTGATCCGGTTAGCCATGTCCCGTCCATCCTCTGGTTTCACGGGCTCCTAAAGAGAAAGTCAGGAGAAGTTTTAGGAAACAGGCATCTGCAACCAGGAGGCTGCTGACGTGTTTGTGTGCGTTTTGAAATTACCTGTTTCATTTTGGCGAGCTCCCTACGAGTGTGCTCGTCATTACGCAAGTCCTTTTTATTTCCCACCAGTATAATGGGAACATTGGGGCAAAAGTGTTTCACCTCAGGAGTCCACTTCTCAGGGATGTTCTCTAAATAAGGGGATACAAGGCAACGTTGGTCATAAAAGAGACACAGCTGCTTTTAGGTGAGACGAATCAAACAAGAGCAGAAAATTGCATATCAGAAGCAGAAATGTCTCGATGTTGTGCAGGTTCCTTGCAAATTTCATATTTAGATAGAGGGCTTAACGATGCATCAAAATGTTTTTAAAATCGCAATATGGCCTAGAGCACTATAAGTTAAAAAAGGTGATTATGTCAAATTAACATTTTAAATTAAATATTTCCGTGCTTCAGAGTGAAAATGATCATTCAACCTAATATCAGAATTGCAATATCAGTCAATATAATGACAATTAGATATTTTTTCAATATTGTTCAGCCCTGATTGGAGAAATGCCTTGATATGTGTGTTTGTGCAGTTATGATCTGCAGTGGTGATCAAACACATGATACATGATGTGATACAACAACCAGAGGAATGTGATAAAATGTTTCCCCATGTCTAACAGATGTTTAACTATTTTGTTTGTGGCTGTTTTTTTACATAACACGATTAGAACTGTTTTAAAATCTCAAACCGGTCGATGAACTTCCCTTCTGTTCATTTAACACAATACCAGTTAATTGAAACTACACATGGACCTGTGTTTTCCCTCTAGACTCTATAAATCATCCTTCTGCCTGAACTTTTGCTGGCATTTAGATGAAATGTCGGCTCTGCGTTTCAACTTACCAAGACTGTCGGGGCTGTCGATGGAGAAGCACATGAGAATGACATCAGTGTCTGGATAGGAGAGCGGGCGCAGTCGGTCATAGTCCTCTTGACCTGCTGTATCCCAGAGAGCGAGCTCGACCTGCCATAAGAGTTAACAGGTTGTCAACCACATGAAGCCAAAACATGTTCAGGGTGCTTCAGGTCTATAGAGGTTTGACACTTTACTGACCCGGTGAGTGCATACAAACCAATATCATGTATTCAGAACTCTGTACTCATGTAGTACACTACTACTGATATGTGTGAATAAAAACCACATCCCACTTACAGTGACACCGATTTACTATTTTACATGAAACACCACCATAGCGATTTTAGCTAAGACTGCGTGGTCTCTCAGCAATAACTGACTGTAATTTCTGCATCTATAAAATTAGGCGCATTGCATTGTGGAATTGCAGCTTACATCATGTGGATACTACACTTTATCGTCCCACTGTGGGAATTTTAAAAGGCACTACATATTGCATTGGTTTCACACAAATATAATGGTGGACAGTGAATAAAATGCAATATACAGTGATCAACCACTTGGGAAAGAATCATTCCTATACAAATGCTGTTTAAATAATTTGCTTATAGTAATCAAGTAGTCCGTGTTTATTTTGTGTATTTTCTTAAATGACAACATTGGGCAAATATCTGAACACTGAACACATTTATTTTAAAACTCTGCTACCAGTTGGGCATTGATAGCCTACAGTTTATTTTTAGGCCTGTTAAAAATGTAGAAATGCACTGAAACCACCTTCAAGCTGTGACTTAGTCAGTTATTTGCATTACTGATGTTACCGTATTTGTAAACAGCACAATACTGTTTTAGGCTATAGCGTGATTATAACTTGAACTACAGTAAGTTATATTTTATATATCGTATTGTATTACTGTATAGTGTATTTGAATAAATGAAGTAAAACAGTCACTAAACTTCAGTAAATAGCAAAGCTGTCCATTTTGTTACTTTATATTCATGTATTAAATATACAGATGTAAATTTGATGGTAATCTGCATGAAAAATTAAAAAGAAAAAAAAAAGAATTTGACTGTGACAATCATCCACTTATAGTGATCAATTTGACCTGGACAGCCTTCTCAGCCAGAGAGAGCAGAGCAGATTAGATTCATTTGTGTGATTCCTACTTATTTAGGTCTTCTTTAAAACACAACAAGGAACCATTTTATTTGACAGTTTATTCAAGTAAGACCAATACATGCTTTGTTAAAAACTCATATCCTCAACAAGTCTTTCATCAGTCCACACCCTGAAGTTGAGAACTTTTTTTAGTATTAACAACACATGACATCACACACAACCTGGGGTGTAGCCTAGAAAGCGTGCTTAGTGAAAGAGTTTCAGAACTAGAAAGAGGGCAACTTAAACTCTGCTCGCTGGCAGTTTTCTTCAAACAACAACAAAGTTTCTTTGAACATAGTTTTTGACTTTACATTCAAAGTCCACTGCACCACTCAACTCAGAACAAAACACCCTTTTTTTTAAATGTGACACAAGACGGCGGTCAGTTCGTTCGAGTTCTACTAAAATGTTTATCGCACATACTGTGTAATCTCTAAAAATCTGTATAAAGTTTTAGACATGTAGGATTAATGAATATTTAATCATTCACGATGTGAGTGGTTGCACTGTTGGAACATAATTATTACAATACTGGACTAATATAAACTCAAGACTTGTCCATCTCAGAGATCAGTGGGCTTAGACTTTTTTAAACCTGCTTTCTGGAAAAGACCCCTGTACCACTGATGGTGATAGAGTGTGGAAGGCAAATATACCTTGCTGATGCGGATTCTGGTCTGAAATAGTGCAAGAGCAAAATTACTCGTACCTGTTTGCTATCGACTTCAATGTCAGCAACGTAGTTCTCAAACACTGTTGGCACATAGACCTCTGGAAACTGGTCCTTGCTGAACACAATGAGCAGACAGGTCTTCCCACAGGCTCCATCTCCTACTATGACCAGCTTTTTCCTGATTGCTGCCATAGCTGCAGACAAGGGACAGAAAACTGAGGTTACGACATGAAAACACTTTATAACAGGATAAGGCCATTTTATTGCGTCCGCATTAAGCAACTACCGCAGTACGCCGGTGAGAAACGATGAGCAGCCAGCCACCTTCAGCTGTGTTTACACAGCGCCAAACCAACACCCGAGGCTAACTATTTAGCTTCATGTGGCAGCAACAACATTACGGCTGGTTTTAGTCCGTCAATCAACTGTACCGGAGGTTTTTAATACAAGGAAAGGCACGCAGACAGGATAAAATGTTGAGCGCCCACGCCTCTTTTGTTGACTTTGGCTTGAAATGTTAGACTAGGAACCCGCTCCCTTTATGATACATTTCCGCTCCAGTGTTTCTGACCCGGCATCAAGCTCGGTACATTATTCAGTTTATACATTAGTCCCACACCAACCTTACAGCACTCAATAAACTAAGCCAAACACTAACTTGATGATAGCTGGTACCAACACATCACTGGGAACTACCGCAGTGTAGGCTGGCCTAAATTTAAGTTGGCGAGGAGCTTCTGTTTACTAAAGACTTGACGCTGGCGACTGTTGGCTAACTTAACCTGCTAGCGGTAGCCGGATGTGTAACGTTAACTAGCTAACGTTAGTGCGCTAAATTTACATTTATGTTATTATTGAAAGGTGGTGCTGGATACATGTGCGATATTTATGATATAACGTATCTAGTGC